AAATGTGAATGTGTTATATTTGCATAAGAATGAAAAGCTATTTTGAAAGGTCACCTGGCAAGATTAGGTTTTTATGTGGTGTGTGGAGGAGACAGTGTTCTGAAAATCCACTGGGAGAAGCAAATTCATAAATATGAATAAATAGAACCGTCATGATAGATAACAAAACACTAATCAGCATGTGAATTTGGATGCTTTTTACTTTCCCAATATGTGGTCGAATTTTGGGTAAAGTATCTTATGAATTAGATACTTTATTTATAGAGTATCTTTAATGCATCTTTATTTATAGAGACCACATGCTGGAAAACTTTTTATTTTCTGTTGATCCTCACCAAAGGATATTTTTTCCATGCTTTTCAGAGACAGCAGAAGAGAGAGAAAGTGGGAGAGAGAGAAAGACATAGAAACATCCATGTGAGAGAGACACATTGATTGATTGCCTCCCACATATGCCCGACCAGGGGGTGGGGAGCAAACTTGCAACCCAGGCACATGCCCTTAACTGGGAATTAAGCTTGCAACCCTTCGGTGCATGGTCCAATGCTCCAACCACTTAGCTACACTGGCCAGAGCTGGAAAACTTCATTTTTTAACCTTTCAATACTTGCAAATTCAAGTTCTAAAATTTATGTTATTAAGCAAGAATTTTTTATTACATATTTTTTAGCCTGTAAAATCCTCACCATTTCTCACCTAGTTGCTGCACTGGTCTCACTTAGGTATCTCTGCTTATTGTCTCAATCTCTCTAACCCTTCTTTCATAATATTGCCAGAAAGATCTTTCTACAGTAACTCTATGGTCATGTCACATCTGGTCAAAATAGTACAAAGGCACCCCATTATGTAATGACTAAATTAAACTAGTTACCTGTCATTCAGTGTCTTTTAATATCTAGCACTTACTACAATTTCAGCTTTACAAATACTATTTTTTAATAATATTAAAGAACTTGTGAGTCCTATACATGGTTAATCTCTCATCCCTTCACATATTTGCACTTTCTATGTTATCCTATATAATAAAAGCCTAATATGCTAAGTGTCTGGTCGTCCGGTTAACCAATCAAAGTTAATAGGCTAAGGCTGCTCAACCGCTCACTATGATGTGCACTGACCACCAGGGGGCAGGTGTTCCCACTGGTAGATTAGCATGCTGCTGGGATCTAGCTTATCAGAACTGAGCAAGATGGACCAGACATGCCCTGGAGCCCTCCCACAGTCCCTCCCTGGCCATGATCATGCACTGATTGGGTCCCTTGGCCTAGCCTGTGCCCTTTTGCAATCCGGGACCCTTCAGCGGATGTTGGAGAGCCAGTTTTAGCCTGATCCCACTCAACGCAGGAGCTTCCCCCTGGGGATCAGTGTGCTCCCACAGGGGAAGCACTGCTCAGCCAGAAGCCAGGCTCACGGCTGGCAAAAACAGCGGTGGTGGTGAGAGCCTCTCCTGCCTTCGCAGTGGCATTAAGGATGTCTGACTGCCGGCTTAGGCCCGCTCCCTGTGGGCTCCAGACTGTAAGAGGGCATAGGCCGGGCTGAGGGACCACCCCCTCTCAGTGCACAAATTTCATGCACCGGGCCTCTAGTTATATTATAATGCTATATATCTTGGAATGCCTTTCTCAGACTTTTGTGGCTTGACAAGTTTTTAGTCATCCTTCAAAATTCAACTGTCAACTTTGTAAGCCTTTCTGACTTGCCAGATAAACTCATAGGAAGGCCGGGATTGTCACAATGCTGAATCAAGCGCTTAAAATTAGATGCAATTTGGGTTCCCCAAAGTTTGCTGAGTCTGGGGTAGGACTGGACCTGTTGGGGTGAGTGAAATGGTTCTATATTCAGGGGAAGAACCACCTGAAAAGAAAATAAGTGGACCAGACTCACAGCTTCGGATAATAACTCTCCATCCATCCATCCATCCATCCATCCACTTATTTATTCACAGATATTTGTTGAGCAACCACTCTAAGCCAGGCATGCACTAGGTACCTGGCTTAAATACTAAATCAAAAAGAGGCAGCCCATGCCTACAGAATTTTTAATATCAAAACGGGGTGGTTTATAGAACAAATATTAAAGTTAACCATGATTTCAAAGAGATCAGACTAGTTATGGGGTCTATTTCAATAGTTTTTAACAAAAAAGGGACATATAGCTAATAAGTAACAAAGATTACTTTGAATCTAGATTCAAGCCAGATTCTTTATCACTACTGTTTTTTGATGTATATAAACCAAGAACACATCAACTGGAGTAAGATTCTTTGATAATTGGAGACATATCTATAAAATTAAAAATATTTATTGTATGAGTCATCATCTGTTTTTACTTTATTAGTTTTTAAAAAGCTAGATTTGACTCATACGTTTTTCTAAACAGAGCACTGTCACAGTGTATGGAAACCAGGACCAAATAGCTGGCCAAGTAAGCTGGAGAGGCGTCTTCCATCACAGGCCGCAGCCACAACAACTTTCCTCAGCGAGAGAACCACCAATTTACATTCAATAGCCTGAACTATGAAAATTCAGCAGCCTGCATTTCATCCTTCCCAAGGTGAACTGTCAACTACTCATTGCAACTTTAAAATAAAGATATTTGCCCTTTAATTAATAATTACTTATTTCCTCCATCTAATCAATGGGAATAAAGTTTCTGTTAAGCAAGATGAGTAAGTCCCAGAGATCTGCTATTAACAATACCACTTACATAATTGTTAAAAGGGTATATTTCATGTTAAATGTGCTTACCATCATAAAATAAAATAAAACATCTGGACACTTAAGTAGCCGGCCAAATGACTGGTTAAGCCATCAATCAGAAAAAAAATTATGGCAAAGAAGATCCAATTGAGAAGAATTAAGGAAAACAATAAGACTTGTAGGACTAGATGGTGCCTTGGAGGTTACCTGATTCAACCCTTCTCCCTTACCCACAGTCTCCTGGACACACACACACACACACACACACACACACACACAGAGTCCAGGACCAGAATTCGTATTTCTTGACAACGCAATGTCCTTCAAAGGCTGAAAGCCTGCAATAATGTGTTTCCTAGATCCTTCTCTTCCTCTCCATTTCTCCGAACAGCAGAGTCACACCCTTGATACCTCCTGCTTCCTACCAGGTGTCTCTCATCCTGGCTTATCCCAATATTTTTGGAAGATTTGTAAAGCATAATTTGATGTTTTTCCTTCCCACTCAAATTATCTCTGTCAATAAAAAAATAAAAATAAAATAAAATTTCTATCTGGCCATTATATAGGAAACAAAGAATAAAATCTTGACTCCAACATTTAAGGTCCTCAACCACTTTGTTCTATTTTTTCCCCTTTTTATCTCTTTTTACTATAACTCTTAATCTGATCAAAATGGATTATTTGTGCTTTTTTGCGTGCAGAACCTGAGCTTCTTTGCCTCAATCCTTTGGTCCTGCCGGTCCTTATCTCCTGCACCTCTACTCAGTATCACATCAAACATCATTCAAGGTCCAGCAAAAATGCCAATGAAACCTTTCCCAACCCCTTCCAACTAAAGGTCATGTTTTTCTGTTATTCTCTTCCACACTTTAACTATCTCTTAACATCTCTCTCTAGTTCATGTCTTCCAGGAGTGGGGAACCTTTTTTCTGCAAAGGGCCATTTGGATATTTACAGTATCATTCACTTAATATAATTCAGTTAATATAAATTTATGTTTCCATGAAAAAAGCTCCTAGATTTATTGAATTTTGAGTTCCACCCGCGGTTGCCTTGACAGGGCCAGTTCCTTGCTCCTAGGAGTTGTTAAACTAAAACATCAATGGGTAATATAGGAATAATGCATCTTTTAAAAGTGTTTTTTTTTAATCTACCAATGATGCTAATTATGCTTTTAAATTTAAACTAAGAGGAAAAACTATGACTATGGTAAGGCTCCCTTCAAAAATATTTTTAATTTTCAATTATTTTACTTATATCACAGGTGCAGAACCCTTCTTTCCAATATCTATTCTAAAATACTGGCCTTGTGAGTATTTAAAAAAAAAAAAAACAAAAAAAAAAACTTGTTCCAGTCAATTATAGAATAATAATACTTGAGGGGGAAAAAAGATCTTCAAAATTCATCTTATCTCATTCATACCCCCAACCCATGTGTATATATAAAAACTTATTCTATTTTAACTATCTTCTGAGATAAATTGCATAGAATTTCTAGTAATCCATTCTGATATCATTGTTGTTATTGTTATTGTTGTTGTTGTTGTTATTATTACATCTCCATTTCCCACATCCTTCACTCCCTTCGCTTTGACAACCATCATCTGTTCTCTGTATCTATGAGTTTGTTTCTGCTTTGTTTTGTTGAGACATTTTGGTTACAATACTACTCCATAATAAGTTAAACCGAGTTCCTCATACTATTATTTCATTTGCCTTTTGAAGACAGTACAGTGCAGGGTTTAAGACACACGGCTCTCTCGTCTATAAAATGGGAATAATAACATGCTTATTTCATAGGATATTTTCAAAGATTTGGTGGAAGCATATATGTAAAGTATTTAGAACAGTGACTGAAACCTAGTAAATGATATATGTGTTGCTATTTTTATTTCTTCTTACCTTGCTTTGAATGAAGACGTTTAATAGTTTGATACATAGCCATTTGGATCTGGAGGCTTTGAACAAATGAATCTTTTTCTGGACTGAATAACCACAGCTCCTTTGTGCTATATTTTTTTTTATAAGACTAATTTTCCAAATTTAAAAAAAAAAAAAACCCTTGTAACCCTTCATCTCAGAGTTCATATTTTGCTATTGCAACAGGATATTTTAAACCGAAACTCTAAAAGTCCCATCTAAATAGACTCTATGAACACATACCTTTATCGGGTCATTCTCCATGTTGTTCATAATGGGCATATAACACTGCGTAAGACAAGCAGGAACCCTGCCTTCCTGGGTTGTACAAATTCTTAGCTGCAGAAACAAACTCTTTCTATCCTTAAGCAAGTCACATACCACTCTTCCGGATTCTCTCTTCCAATAGGTCAGCATGTCCAGCTGGAAGTTTCTTATTGAAAATCTCAGCTGACCGGAGGAACATAGCTTCAACTGCAGACCCTTTCAGCAGAGCAATCTGATCTTCATGGTCCAACGTCTGAAATCCTGCATGAAGGTGATAATGAAATCGGTATCAAGGAGTCGTAAATGCTATAAGACAGTATTCATCTTCACCATCATCCCCATCCTTCCCACTGATAAAACATTTTCATAAAATTATTTTGTAGTTGTTTTAAGACTGGATAGTCAAGCTGACTCAATAAGTATCTATTGTTCTCTCCCAAATAGAAGCTGGCTTTTATCTTCATTGTGTAGGATTTGATAAACAACTTGGGTAAAAGAGGATCCACGTCAAATACATACATATGTATATATATATAAAACTGAGTGGCCGGATTATGATCTCTGAACGCATAATAATCTGACCACTCAGTGTATATCCTATCCTATATAATAAAAAGCTAATATGCAAATTGTTCCCTTAACCAAGAGTTTGACCAGCAGGCAGGAGACAGGCCAGCCAAACACCCATATCCTCTCCCCCTGGCCAGGATGGCTGGACCCCACCCATACACAAATTTATGCACTGGGCCTCTAATATATCATACACAAATTCATGCACTAGGCCTCTCTCTCTATATATATATATATATATTGAATGGTGAGATTATTATGAGTTCAGAGATCATAATAATCTGGCCCTCTCAGAGAATATACATTGAAAATATATATATTTATGGCAGAGATACGCTGATGCAGATGAAGCCCCCTTAAAACTCAGAGGCAGCCAAGACTGGTTTGGCTCAGTGTATAGAGTGTGGGCCTGCAGACTGAAGGGTCCTGGGTTCGATTCTGGTCAAGGGCATGTACCTTGGCTGCGGGCACATCCCCAGTGGGGGTGGTGCAGGAGGCAGCTAATTGATGATTCTCTCTCATCAATGTTTCTAACTCTCTATCCCTCTCTATTCCTCTCTGTAAAAAAAAAAAAAATCTATATATATATATATATATATATATATATATATATATATATATATATTTAAGTCAGAGGCAAGCAGATTCTCTTTGAGCCATTATTTTAGTTGCATTTGGTATCAGAGGACAACTCTGCAGAATGGAAGTTTCCACAAGCCAGAAACATTTTTATGTGTATCCAGAGATTTAAAGAAATATTTGGCCAACTCATGGATCTTTAGTCTACCTGGAGAATGTGTAGTATTTCCAATAGAAAACAAACAACCCAATCAAAATCATGTTGTGCTATCTTCTCTAAGCTCAGCCCTCCACCATGCAGGGCGAGGAAAATGACTGACTAAAGTAATGAATGGGAAACAAACACAAGCTCATGTGCACATGTGTACACACACACATACCACAATTAGAGATAAAATAATGATAATGCCTTCAGGGTCTAAGTGGCCTAGGAGAGTATTAAATAGCAATGGGAGTTTAGAGGAGAGAGTAACGCTAAGAATAAAGAAGCAATGTCACTGTGTCAGAGAATCTAAGTGCTCCTTTGTGGGCAGGAGACATGGTAGGTCTCTAACACTCTGGACAGACCTCAATGAACTGTGGAATGGAATCCCTCAACTCGGACCTTCACAAAATACTCTTTCATTATTAGTATTGCATAACTATTATTACTATTTGTAGTAATGTCATTTCTGTAATTATTGTTAAAACATTTTTTTCCTTCTCAAGGGTTGTCTTTTCTTTTTTTCTGTGTGTGTGTGTGTGTGTGTGTGTGTGTGTGTGTGTGTGTTTTTCCCCCCCTTCTACTTTGCTCATTAAACACACATTAATTATACTCTCTCCCTATTGACCCAGTCCAGGCATAGGATTGAAGAAGTGTGTAAGATACTGCCATTGCTTTCAGATAAGCTACCTGATTATAGGAAGATTTTTATTTGTCCCCAATATTTCTTGGTTAAAGATCAACTGACCATTTGAAATGAAAAATCTTTCCCCATAAACAACAGAAAACATCATATTTCTTCCTTTCCAATATTTCTTCCCACAGTTTCTGACTCTTGAATAATCATGTTTTTGATCAAGATTGCCTTCAGCTTAATTATCATAAAACAAATTAAGTTCTGTTTTTCATTGTTAATAAAGAAATGAGAGAATATTAATGTTTCCATGATAACGAGAATTTTCTTCCCACATTTTATGAGTTTTATGTAGGCTTATGTTTATCTCTGACTCATTTAATGAAATAATAGCATAATGCTGGCAAAAGAAGGCAAATTAACATGTTTAATTAAAATCCTATGTCAGAAGTTACCTTCTGTAATTTAATATTACTATGTTAGCTATACAAGGTATTTATTATATTCTTCTATCTAGACCATGAAATTTTTAATGTACTAATATATTTTTTAAAACAACAAAACAATTTAAAGCTATTGGCTGAGATTGCATTGAAATTGTATCTAAAAGAATTGGACTCTGGGAGATAAGTAGCTGGCATTCCAGTTTCCTGCACTGACACCATCAGAATGACTGGATAAATCCCTCTCCCTCACCTCACTCATGATGGACACTTGTTCATCAAGTGCTATCATTTTTAAAAAATATATTTTATTGATTTTTTTACAGAGAGGAAGAGAGAGGGATAGAGAGTTAGAAACATTGATGAGAGAGAATCACCGATCAGCTGCCTCTTGCACAACCCCTACTGGGAATGTGCCCACAACCAAGGTACAAGGTACATGCCCTTGACAGAACCTGGGACCTTTCAGTCCGAAGGCCGATGCTCTATCCACTGAGCCAAACCGGTTTCGGCAAGTGCAACCAATTTTTTTAAAAAATATATTTTATTGATTTTGTACGGAGAGGAAGGGAGAGAGATAGAGAGTTAGAAACATCAATGAGAGAGAGTCATCGATCAGCTGCCTCTTGCACACCCCCCACTGGGGATGTGCCCACAACCAAGGTACATGCCCTTGACCGGAATCGAACCCGGGACCTTTCAGTCCCCAAGCTGACGCTCTTTCCATTGAGCCAAACCGATTTCGGCCAATTTTTAAATCTCTCTTTGTTTCCTATTCTCTCTCCCACTGCTATTGCTTTATTTCAAGCCCTGTTGCTTGTACTAATGTAGTAGCATAGTAACTAATTCACCTTGCCTATAGTTCCTCCCTGTTCATATCCTTCTAATACGAACCTAATAAAGTTATATCACTATAACATAAATCTCATCATTTCCATCTTTTAAAAAAGCCACCAAGAACCAGTGGATGAGAATTAATACCCTTAGTTAGGCCCTAACTGGTGTGGTACCAGCTTACCTTATGTCTAACCAAGAAGACACAGACATTATGCTACAGCCACAGTGAATTTTCCCTTCCTTCTCTAATAATTCGCTACTTACTCATGCCTCGTAATATTTTCACAAGAAGATTTCTTGATTTCAAATGACCCCTCTCCTTAATGTCAACGGAAAAGCTCTTTTTTGTTTTAGATCCAATGCAAATATGATTCTCTCAGAAGCCTTCTTATCTTTCTCAAATATAATCAGCAATTGCTTTCTTTTTGTTCAAACAGCACTTTGCATACACTTTTTTTTTAGTTATACCCTTTAATCACTTTCCTTGTAGGTAATAGCTAGGTATTTAGTATAGAATAGGTATCGACAAACATTATTAAATGAATAAATGGATGGATCACAACTTAGCAAAGTCACTATTTCTTAATTTATCAATTTGGAAGAATTAGCATAAATGATTTTAAATATCCTATCTGGCTCTAACATTTTATGTCTGTGGTAGACATGTTAAATCAGATGTGAGATAATTCTCTTTTTGAACCAAACAGACTTGCCTCTCTTAATGTCACAAGAATATCGCACAGTGTAGCAGAGAAGTAACTACATGTAAAGATACCTGGTAGCTTTTTTGTGAATTCTACAAGAATCTGTACATGACTGGTAGCCATTTCAGTTAAAATGAGAAAATTTTCTTCTGCACTGAATTCTTCTTTTAACTGAATTTTAAGAAAAAAGCAAATGATTAATAAGTAGATAAAAGGATAAAACAGTATAAAATCATTAGGCTAAAGAACCAGACTTAAACAATAACATTTAAAACCTAGTTCATATTTTTCAGGTCCTTGGAGAGCAATTATTATTACCAAGATAAATATGAGACTTCTTTCTCATTAGTTATTTAATGCTGCTAAAAGCTTAAATGTATAACAAATTCTTGGCTCTAATCATTTCAAAGTAACATGTTTATATACTAATTCCACTCCAACATAGTAAACACCCAGAAAATATTAAGTTTAAGCCCATGCATTTTCAGATAGTGTACATACAATTTTATTTGTGATTTCCTGAGGCATCCTCTGTTTGCTATATGAATCCATAATATAATGTAGAAGATTCTGTTGATCCAGGGTGAGTTCAGTTTTCTCCTACACTGGCAAAAAAATAAAATATGTTAGGGAAGGTGACTATAAGATATTCTCTTTCTCTTGATAGATAGATAGATAGATAGATAGATAGATAGATAGATAGAGTGTATACACACACACACACACACACACACACACACACACACATATGGAGTAAAATAAATATCAGAAATTGTTGGGGAAAGCCCTAAATATAGCAGTAACTGTATTGTGTCATAGCTTTTTCTGAGCTCCTGGGCAAGCCATGTCCCCATTTCACTAAATTTGTCCCAAGGTACTCATTTTCCTCTCTGTAAAATAGGGGGAAACAAACTATTTCTTTCTTATATTTCTTAGGAATAAATAATAATCTGGATATGAAGCTCATTGAGTCCATTCATAGAGAAGTTCAGTGCAAGTTCAAGGTTTGGCCATAACTAAAGAAAAGTTCCCCCATATAACATGGAGACTCCGTTTGAGGATATTTATGTAGAGCAGGGGCTGGCACACTGGGGCCCACGGACCAAATCCACCTAGTTTTATAGATCCACTGGAAGATAACCGTATTCATTTGCTCATGTATTACCAAAGCTACTCAACGCTGGGTAGTTGAGATGGAGACCATGTGGCCAAAGCCTAAAATATTTGGCACTTTACAGAAGAAAACTGCTGACCCCTAAGGTAGAGAGTCCTCCATCTGGACAATCCAGCCCCCAAACATCTCTTTCTCCCTTACTAGCATCTTTGGAAGAGGGTGAATAATTGTGTCACTTTTTGCTTCCTTATACCAAAGATGAAGCACTATGGCAAAATAATACTTTCATATCAAATACTTTTCCTGTGATAAATACAAAATGATATATCTGAAAAACTAAACGTGGATGTTTTTTTTTATCAGTAGTGTAATAAATATTAAGAAGGGCATAATTTGAACAAAAAAAATAGATTGGTATTTCAGCTAAAAATTAAATTTAAATTCCTTTAAGTGCCCTGTTCATTCTCAGTATGTTTAGCTAATCATACAAGATGCCATTCCTCTATTTGTCCCAAGTTGTCTTGAAGGATTCTTGGAGTGATCTGTGACCTCAGCAAAAGAGCTTTCTCTATTGGTGCACAGATGTGCATTCACCCTGTTTTACCCATTGATAAAGACTGACTCATGTCCTGGCCGGTTTGCTCAGTGATTATAGCATTGGCCCATAAACCCAAGGGTCTTGGGTTTGATTCCTGACCAAAGGCACATACCTTGGTTGCAGTTTCAATCCTCGGCCCCAGTGGGAGGCAACCAATCGATGTGTCTCTCTCACCTTGATGTTTCTTTCTCTCTCCCCCTCCTCTTCCTCTCTTCCACTCTCTAAAAAATTCAATGGAAAAAATATCCTCAGGTGAGGATTTAAAAAGACTAACTCGTAAGTCTATCGAGTCCACACCCTTCCCAGTCTGAACCTCCCTTCTCACTGGCAGGAAAATGGTCATTAAAACTCAGTTTGAAAAAAAATCCCTTTTATACACCAAACCATTTCTACTGGCAACCTCTGTGTAGTAGGAATGAAATGGAGCCAGGGAGAACTTTCCCTTTTTTTACTTTACACACTCCTCCTATCTGACTTTTACACAGGAGGATGTATGACTCTCATGATTAAAAAGAAACTCATTCGCCCGTGGACACAGACAATGGGGGTGGTGCGGGCCTTGGAGGGGGGTCAGAATGGGAGTGGGCTGGATGAGGTTAATGGGGGGGACGGGGGAGAAAACCTTTGAAATACTTTCAACAATAAAGATGTTTTTTTAAAGAAGAAAAAAGAAAGAAACCCACTCAATGCCCAGCTGAAGTGACATTCTGCTCGTGGCTGTGGCTCTGACGTGAAAGCCTCCCAGCCAGACCACGACATGCCTAGCAGCCCAGCGGCACTGGCTTTGGCAGACACTGTGGCGTGTTATTACCCTGCATGACTTCGTGGTCGAGGTCACTTGTCGCAGGTCACGCCCTTCGCTGTCTTCATTAACACTCTGATCTGCGTGCTGCTTCACGTTTTTTCTCAGTCGTTTGGATTTACACTGAATTTCAGTTAACAAGCCTAAAAAAAATAAACATAGAGACTTAACCAACCACAAGAAAGTACTGTTGGGTGTGTGGGCACGAGACTTGGCCTTGAACAAGAAATGTATCGTCTGTGAGTCTCAGCTTCTTTATTTGTAAAATAGGAATAATATCTACCTCGCATGGTTTTGTGGATATTCAATGTTATGTCATGTTAAAAAAAAATTGAGCTTTATATACAGGATGTAATGCAAAGCATTGTACAAATGCAAGGTTTTTGATCCATACAATGAAGAATGACACTCCCTGTTCCTGTCCTAGGGAACTTTGAAAGTTATTATTTCAAGACAGAATATTAATAGTATAACTGCACCATAAGGCATGTAATCAATTTCACATTAAGCATATAAGTAAACATGAATCAAACAAATGCCAAGATCCTTTAGAAAAAAAATTCCAATCTTGTTCATTTTCAGAACTGTAGAGATGGTTGAGAACATAGTTAAAGATGAAAATAACTCCAGGGGACCTAGACATTTTCATTTGAATAATCATATACTATCATCATTAATTTATACTAAGCAGGGCTATAAAAAATAACATAGACTTCTCTTCCACATTCCTATTTAACTTCCTCATTCTCTCAATGTGAAGGAAATGAAATCCCAGGAATTTCCTTGTCCGGGGAATTCGGTTTATAGGATCCTGTGAAAGCTTTGCACCTGTTCCTCGTCAAGTCTATGTGCGTAAATAATAGTATAGCCTCTTCTATTCCAGGTGGCGTCATGAAAAATGTCCCCGGAGCTCCAGTGGGGACAAGGTCATGTTTAAGTGATGAGCCACATGAACCGCCTGGTATCGAGGCAAATGTTTCCATGGCAGGATCGGGTTCCAGCGGCCGCCCCTCCTGCAGTCTCCTGTTTCATACACGCGGAGAGGCGATTGTGATCGGCCGCCATGAAACTTTCATCCTCCCGGCCTGGCATCATTTACACTGACCTATTTTCCGCCTCCTGCGTGCATTCTTTGTCTGGGTCCATCCCAGTGGCCTGCATGGTTTGGGAATAATAGCCCTGGAATCGCCTTCCAAAGGCTTTTCTTTCATGTGGCATTCCCTCCCTGACTGTGATCATCCCCGTGGTGACATCTGTTTGTCTCCTTGTGTTTGGAGGGGAACAGGGCCTATCTCCGAGTCTGCGCGGTCTGCAGGATTTGCAGAATGAAAAATGAATATGTTATAGCCCGGCATGCATTCCCAATGCTGATGGAGATTACGGTTCCTCACAAAGCCAGGAGTGAATACACTGTCTTTTTTTTTTTCTTATCAGATGGAAGGGCCAAATGATATTAAAACTTGGGGGAGTTAATTTCCTGTGTAAATCTATACAAATTGGTTCAGAGCTGCAACAAAAAAAAAAAAGAAAAAAAAAAGATTCTTAATAAAATAACTTGATTTAAAACTCGACGGTGGCAATTCAGTGGCAGTTAGACCTTCTTCTTAATTTTCCCCACAACTGTGAATTCTTATGCTAATGAAACAAAAATTTAAAAAGATATCAAATTGAATTTGAAGGAAACTTTTAGACTGTCATTCTTTATAAGTTATTAAAAATATTGCCACTCAGCTCCATGTCTCATTGCAACAATGAACAACAAAACACAGCTGTTTTTTTTCCAGGTGAATTAAATGCTCTTTAGCTGACAGTTTGGACAATTTAGTGTAGGGGTGTCGAACTCAATCAGAGAAGGGGCCAAAATCTAACATCCAGCCTAAATCGCGGGCCGAATGGTTTACTGAACAGTCATAAACTGTCATTGTGATGGAAACGCAGCGGAGTGCAGTGATGACAGCGCGGTGCGGGCCACATTGCAAGGCCTGGCGGGACGGATTTGGCCCGAGGGCCTTGTGTTTGACACATGTGATTTAGTGGTTAATGATCCTTTCCAAGAACTTATATGGCTTAGTAAGTCCCTTCTTTGATGTGTGAAGAACCATTCTAATTAGACGCGTTACCTGGCTTCTGCCTTCTTAAGAGATATTTAGTGGAATTTAATTGCTTGATGCGAATACCTCTATACATACATTCAGCCAACATTCCCATCTCTTTGCATTTCCTTAGTCGACACTCCTGGCACTTCCTTCGCATGTACATGTCCATCACACAGTTGCCTCCGTTTTTACACTTGTACACGGCATTTTTGGTGATGCTTCTCCTGAAGAAACCTGTGGCAGAAACACAGACAGGAGTGAAAAGACTCCTCACACCGTCTGCTCAGAAAAAACACATTTGGACTGAGATGCCCAAGAATTTTCTCCTGGACCCCTGGAGAGCAGCAGCCACCAGGTAATCCTTGTGTGCACTGTTGACAAAGTGCTTTCAATTGTACTGCCTCACCCAGAAAGCTGCTGTTTTTAATTCATCTCTCAAAAAATAAAGACATGTTTCCCTGATAGCCTTTCTAAGGAAAAATAAACAACCCTCAGTTCCTTTTTAAGATAAATTATGTTCATTATATCTTCATGGGGGGTCAATTATGGGCCAGTGTACTTATTCTAAGTGCTAGTGGTTCAAAGGTAGGTAAGTCATCCCTGCCCTCTTAGCATCTACAGCAGTGGTTCCCAATCTTTCTAATGTCGTGACCCTTTAATACAGTTCCTCATGCTATGGTGACCCCCAACCATAAAATTATTTTTGTTGCTACTTCATAACTGTCATTTTGCTACTGTTAATGAATTGTAATGTAAATATCTGTATTTTCCGATGGTCTTAGGCTTTACAGCAGTGGTTCTCAACCTGTGGGTCACCTAAGACCATCGGAAAACACCGTTATTTACATTAAGATTTATTAACAGTAGCAAAATGACAGTTATGAAGTAGCAACAAAATTAATTTTATGGTTGGGGATCACCACAGCACGAGGACTGTATTAAAGGGTCACAGCATTAGGAAGGTTGAGAACTGTGGTTCTCAGGTTGGCTGAGGGCCAAGCCATGCAAATAATCAAATAAGTAAAATTAAGCCTTCCTGGGCTGTGCTGGGGCAGAGGAGGCAGAGGGAATGGTTGGATCTGGGGGAAGAAGTCAGACTCAGAGGCGAGTGTTGAGCTAAGTCTTGAGTTGAGTCATTATTGCGGAGAAAGAGAAACCATTACAGGGTTTTGGGTTTGGCAGGGGAGGGTATGACCTAACGTGCATGTTGGAAAGAAAGGTGAACAGGGAGACTAGAGACAGGAGACTGTGACCAGCCAAGAGGTGATCAGGCCTGGACTTAACGTGGGAGGCAGTGAGAACAGGGAGGAGGCAATAGCAGAACAATCATACCTTGGTGACTAACTCAGTGTGAACCAGGGGCTGAAGGAAGAGTGAGAGATGTCAAGGCTAAAGGAGTACTAGACTTGCTTGTGAATTTGTTGGTTGGCAAAACTTGCAGTAGAAAAGATGTTACCATTTTCCTAACTGTCAAATTCAACCACGGAGCGTATATAAAAAATAAAAATATAAAAAGTCTGTGAGTCTGTGCTTCAGATCAAAGTTGATACTAGGAGTACAAACACCAACGTATGCATTTTAAAAGAGATTACAGGCAAAAAAAAAAAAAAAAAATTATTTTCCTGATTCCAGATCATTGAGCTCAGTGACAACCTTAGCCCATCTGAGTCAGTCTTTCTATCAATATTAATCTTCAGCTCCTGCCAAGAATAATTCCATTTCATACAGTCAGATACTGATAGCTCAATAGTTAACAGAAATAAGACTCCTTACTCCAAGAGTCAAGGGAACAGTGGCTAGGAAAAATCTGCAGGTTTTTTGCTCCGATATTACTCAGAAAATCATTATCATCTCAATAGCTGAATTGATTAGCTTTCACTCTGAGGTGGCAATATTATATTATCACTACATCACTTAAATAAAAGTGCATATACTATTTTTATACTTATGCAAATCTATCCATACACATATCTCTGATTCTATCTTGTGCATATTCAACAATGCCCATGTCAGAGAAGTCATTTGAAAATGAATGGAAAGGAAATTCACTGAGGAACAGAGGCCCTTGGTAACAAAAGAGGAGTAGACAGGGCTGGTATTGCACAATGGGGCTGGCAGGAAGCCAGCTTTAAGATGGTAAAATGGGTCCCTCAAATGTGCAGAATATTGCACATTCTGCTTTTCTCCTTTATACGCATGGAACCCACATACCACACCATACTGTCAACTCATACGTGAGCATGTGCACACACGTGGGCACACAAACACACATGCACAAGCCAGACTTCAGTAACTGACAGTAGGCTACCCATCACTTGGAAACTATGGTTGTTTAAAACTTTAAAGGTCTCCACATTTTGGGAAACAGCAACAAACACAAAGCCGAGCAACTAGTGAGCTTTATGGCCCAGTTAGCTATTAGATATGTCTCAGCACAATGGAGGGTAAAAAGTTCCCTCCATCCCCCCATTACCTTACATAGGATTAATTTTCTAAACACTTTGCAAATGCTGATGCATATAATACTCATAACAATCCTAAGATATAGAGTCTATTACACTAGTGTCATGGTCAGCAAACTGCGGCTCTCAAGCCATATGCGGCTCTTTGGCCCCTTGAATGTGGTTCTTCCACAAAATACCATGACCTGGGCGATTCTATTTTGAAGAAGTGGTGTTAGAAGAAGTTTAAGTTTAAAAAATTTGGCTCTCAAAAGAAATTTCAATCGCACTATTGATATTTGTCTCCGTTGACTAATGAGTTTGCTGACCACTGGTCTAGTAAATCATTGATTTTGACTGCTATATAAGGAGGCTCTCCCTTGTCTGGGTGATTTAAAAGCATAATTCATCAGTGAGTGTTATGCCCAGACTTGATGATCCCCAAGGACCACCAGGGAGCCGAGTCCGATGCAATAAACAAAAGAGCCTTCTCCATGCTAGCATGGGCTCCTCCCACTCACGCCGGCAGCATGGCGGAAGAGAGAGCGAATTTCACCCAGTCCAGGGGTTTTACTCCGGTCGGTAGTGATGTCACTGCCTCAGCTAACCCTGATTGGTTGGGTAAGAGCTAGGGATAACTCTGCCCTGTGGGGTGGAGTCGGGAGCTCATCCTCGCCCCGCCCTGCCCTCTCATGAGCACCTCTTCTTTTTCCTTTATTGGCAATAGGGCTTACATCTAGTATTAATGCTGCTTTTCATTCTGTCATTTTGGGTTCAAACCCACCTCTGTAATAGCCACCACTGAAGGCAGACTTTGGTAGACTTTGAAAAATTTCTTTTACTTGAGGCTCCATATGCTTCATGGCTTGCAAAATATAACGGCCTGTGCATCCTGCAGCAGCAATAGTCAGTCCAACCGCTACCATTGTACTGGCCACGGCTCCAGCTCTGCTCCCCTGCCTCCCGAGAGCGTGGTTCACCCCATTCCATCAGGCCCTGGCCATCAGCTCCCCGCCACTACCAGAAAGCAAGGGCGCCCTCTAACACTTAGTTTTGCCAACTACAGTTTCTATTGATTTTTTAATTAAATGGCTTAAAAAGGACTGACTTTGAATTATTTTCATAAGTTGCCTGATATCAGGCATAACCAGATAACTGTTTACACAACTTAATACTCAAAGGACATTTATCAAGCTCCTGTAATCCCTTCTGCCAAAATGAACCACGAAAACATAATATTTGCCACAAAATGAGAGAAAAGTTCATTAAAACAGCATAGTTTAGAAAAGAGTGTGAATGAAGCTCCATCAATGTAGCAAAAATGTTGGTGAATCTCTGAAAGATCAAAAATAGTAAATTTCTGAAGAAACGTGGCCCACAACAGGTACATAAAAATGCAGGTGTAGGAGTAATGGGGTAGGTGCAAGTTCAGATTCAAGGAGATTCGGACAGCCTTAAGGCATTCTTAGGGAGAACTGTGCTAAGCCAACGGTTGGCTAATTTATGCAGGGCAAATTCTCCAAGTCTCCACCCTCCCAAAAAACCCACACACACCTATTTTTGTATAGCCCACAACACAGGAATGATCCCTGTTTTTCATGGTCGAAAAAAAAAAATAAGGCTATTTTGTGATATTTAAAAGTTATATAACACTCACATTTCAGTATCTACAAATAAAGTATATTAGATCACAGCCACACCCATTCATTTACCTGATGTCAGCTTTTGCACTATAATGGTAGAGTCAAATAGTTGAGACACAGACCTAATATTTACAAAGCTTAGAATGCAGGCCCCTTACAGTAAAAGTCAACCAACTCCTGTGCTAAACCTTGGGTAGCAGTCGTATTTGCACGCAGTCTCAAGCAATGACTCTAAGCCAGAGGAGGTGGGCAACGGCCAGGAGGAATGAGAAGTCCCCCTTGCCCAGAAGACAAAGACCAGAACATGCCACCCAACAGCACATCTGTCCTCCATCCTGGTCACTAAAAGCAGGCTGCTAAACCCAAACAGCATCTTCAGAAAGGTAAGCAGGGACTCTCAGAGGCTTCTCAATGAATGAGATCACTCTTCTTTCTCCAATCATTTAGGAATTGCTCTGTGGGAGTTTGCCCTGCAGGCAGCTCTGAGTCTGTTTCTCCTTTTGCCCTCACCTATTAATAGAAAGGGCAGGCTCAAAGCCTAAGCCATTGGAAAGTACCCTATTGATAAGTTGACCGACATTAGCTACAGGATAATGTTGTTGTTGTTTTTATATTTCATATAAGAATTTTTTGAAAGCTCAACTTATTCATCAGCTCAACCACAGAACTTGGAAAGAAGTACAGTCTACCTCATTTTATGAACATAATAAATTTTTACAATTTTTTTAAAAGCTTGGTTTGATTATTTGGCCTAATGAACATAATAAATTTTTACAATTTTTTTAAAAGCTTGGTTTGATTATTTGGCCTAATGATTTTCGATGGCCAAGAAATATATAATCTTCCATTCAGGCTCAGAATAAAAGGTATTGTCATAATTGTAAATAATAATGATAATAATAATAATAATGACAGAACTCTCATATCCTTCATTTCAGCTCACGTGTGACCACTTTATAGCAGTATCCTTCAGGAGGTCCACTCATCTTTCTCATTGTCTTTTTTGCATTCTTTACATCGCTTGTCTCTATTAAAATTATCTTACCATTTTTTTGAAGAGTTCATTCTTTTCTGTGGTTCAAAAATCAACAGATACGAAAGGATATAAAGTAAAACACTTCCTCCCCATACATGTCCTCATGCTTCCTAG